GCTGGGCCATGGGTAATGACACATGGCACGGCTTACTTATTGGTCAGGAAGCCAGATCCATGTTCCCTCACGACACTACAGGACAGAGGAAATCTCCCTCTGACCGGAGGTTCTGGTAAGGAAATGCCCCAGGCATCCATGTGCATCAGCCCTAATAATATGTGTGGTTTCATTTATTTATTTTTATTAAAAGCATATCTAAAGAAAAAACCTTTTTTTTTTTTTTTTTACAGATGGATTGATGAGGGGGTTGAAGCACCTCTCATGTTTTCACTACTGGTTGTATCCTGGCGGAGGAGATTAGCCCTCTCTTATTTGTCCTGTTGACCATTGTCACTAGATCTGAAAGTAAAGGCAACTCCACAAGTTGAGTTCACAGAAAGACAGGAATAAGGTCCCCACACACCTTACGATAATCGTACGATAATCGCGGGAAATCCCGCGATCGTACGATTATCATAAGGTGTGTGGAAGCCGTGCGACCTCTACTACTGTAAGGTCGCACGACTTTAAACTTACGGACATGTTCGAAAACCCGCCGAGCATCGTACGATGTTCGGCGGGTTTGTGGCATGTCCGTACGATAACAGCAGTACGGGGCGGTGTGCGGCATTGCGGTCATCAGAAGCCCGCCCCTCAGGGGGCGTGGCTTGCGATCATCGCAAGTACGATCTGCCTATGCAAGATAGGCAGATCGTACGTTTTTTTAAAGTACCTTACAACCATCGCAAGACAAAAGTCTTGCGATGGTTGTAAGGTGTGTGCCCAGCCATAGAGGGAATAGTTCCAATGCGATACTTGTTCTGGTAACAATAGTCTTAAAAAGGAGATACCCCTCACTTTGAAGAGATTCCTTCTGACTTCCTTCTGTGCCTAAAGCCTCCTCCCCCCCACCCCCAATGGGACATAAATGGGGGGGTGTTCTATCCACATTCACTCTGTATGACAGACCCACCATGCTTAGATAAAGTAATGCCTGCGCAGCAGTTGCATCATCAGGGCCCGGCCAATCAAAGACTAGAAATCTGAAAGAAGACATGGCGGTAGATGGAAGCGCCAGCGAGGGAGGAGGTTGGTTTAACAGGTAAGTCTGTCATAATGTGCTAATATGCTGTGCACACTAGCACATTCCCAGATAGCAAGGATAACTTGCCACAAACTTATGGCAGGGTTAAATTGTAATTCTTGTTAACTTGCTGCACACATTCCCTGGCAAGTTGTAGACTTGTAGAAGACTCGCAGCACAAGTTCTAATTACTTCATCCACACAGTTAAGTGTAGATGGAGGAATCTGTTGCACCTTTTCCATCTGACCACAGAAAATCTGCAGATAATTGTAAAGTGTATGGCCAGCTTTAGCAAGAGCTCTGCAAGTATACAACACTTTTGCAAAGCACGTTGATCTGGAGACTTGCTGTAATTGTGCAAACAAATTGTGAAGCTTGGCAAGTCTGCAATAGTTTAGCAAGTCATTTTCAAACTTGCAGCTCAATTGATTGCTATCTGGGTTATAGCTAAAAGCTTCAGTGCCCCCCACCCCCCACACTTTGTATTCTGATTGCTTAAAGTGGAATTAGAGGCACATGTGTGGCAGGCCTGTAAGGAATAAATGATTGATCAGAAAAGATTACCAAATTTAGTAACAATTGTAATGGATATGGCCAGCATAAGACAACCTCACATTCTCAATGTGAGATCCCAGTGACTGCTAGAGAATTTTATGTAGGAATGTAGAACCTGATCTAGTGAGAAATTTTCCATCTCATGCAATTACTCCTGCATAAAACCTTGTGCAATGACTAGACTGGAGCTCAGATGACCCACATAAATGGTAGGGAAATCTTAATGTGTTAAGCTGCCCACACACCTTACAATTATCTGCAGATTTTCTGTGGTCAGATGGAGAAGGTGCAACCGATTCCTCCATCTATGCTAAGCTGTGTGGATGGAGTAATCTCCAACTGGGCCAATCTGTTGCACTTTTTTCATCTGACCACAGAAAATCTGCAGATAAATTGTAATGTGTGTGGGCACCTTAAGTTAAACCGATTGTCAGCTAGCTGGAGAGCTCAGTTTCCCTGACTCATTGACCACCTAGGCTCTTTGAACCTAAAATAATCATAGCAGTGTTGCAGGATATGGCCTGCGATTTGCACAACCTACGATGGGAAGCAGATGATTACAGTCCAGCACACGACACCTCTGTGACCACAGCCTAAGAATACAATGCAGAATGTCCCTGTGGTTTGGTCATGTCCTCACAGGCCTCTGCTTATGTATACAAGGAAAAGCAGGAAGATCCAAGAAAGGTCATTATCTGACATAAGGATTTCCTTCAAGGAACGACAGCCGGGGGAAGGGGGTACAATGGCGTAAGTGGTAAAGGGTCATTTTCCACACATATCATCAAGTGGAGGTCAAAAGAACTCAGTTTAAATAGAATAAGCCATGTAATAGAATAAGATTATGTAACAGGGAATCCTGTATAAAAGAAAAGGGAAGGGAAAAGTTTGTAATTCACACTTGAGCAGTTACAGGTAATTTAAGCTTTTTTCCATGTTTTTCAGGCATTCCCATTGAAGAATACTTGGCCAAAAACTCACAACTCTGCCTGAATGACGCTCATGTACTCTTTCGAGCTACAAGCGACAATGCTCAGGTGTGGATGGGCACCATTGAAAATAATGGTATTCTTGAACCTTGAGACACTTCAAGAATCAAGTGACAAAACACTCAGGTGTGTGAATGGGGGCTTACGTGTAAAATTTGTTCTGGAAAAATGGCAGCTGCATTCTGCTACAGGCACCGCCTCACATTCCCCACCCCTGAACTATAGATTACTAGAACTCCTACATTCTGACAGTCAATTGAAAGAGGTTCTGCAACAGCAAACCTGTCCGTTCTGTTCATATGCTGCCTTTTAATACTCACTATAAACTCTATAAATTATTTACCGCTACATTCTCAACAATGTTACATCAGCTCTCAATGGCCATCACTCACCAAAGTGGTTGGAATAGGTAGTACTGTCCCATAGCAACCACATTCTTCCAGTCATTCTGTCATTTTCCATGGCAGGCTTATATTGACTGGTTGCTGTGATGCAGCACAGAGAGTTCTTATTTCAGACACTGTGACAAAGAAGCCCTACTACTATAGTATGAGAAATTGGTACCAAAGTAGGCTTCCCAGTAATGAGAAAAAAACAAAACATGGAGGATAAAACAGCTGATGCTTTTATCTATACACACAACGGATAGCATTGGTCTTTCCGATACAGTCATAGGTAGGTTTCTATTTACTTTCTCATTGGAAGAGACTGGCATACTATTTATGCAGATCGTGCAGCTACACAAGGGCCCATGTATACTAGATGAGGGTCAGATGGTTGTTGGGACCCCCTTCCACTGCCATGTAGACCTGAACACAGCACACCTATCCAATTAGAAATCCAAACACAGTGAATACAATCTTGTACTTGGCTAGTAGTAGTAGGGAAGAGACCACAAATTGGTCTGGCGCAGGGGCCTTTGGTGACTCTATCCGCAATTGCTCAGTAGTCAAACCAATTGAAACACACCATATATTTCTAGTTCACAAAGATCCTATACACATCTCATACATTTCTGCTGCTCAGCCGTAGCTGTGCATCCACATGGCCTTTATCATACAAAGAGGTTTCATATATAAAGCAAATATCATCACAATGACACGAGGCGTTTGCACATGTGACTAAAGCAGGAACACCAAAGTGTCACCTCTGTGTATGTGATGGTGCAAGGGCATTGAGGTGTAAGCTCTGCTGGCGTGCGAATTTGGTCACTGGTTCATGAGTCTATGTAAACCGCTGAAGAATATGACTAAACGAAGAGCAATAATATTTATAATAACATAAAGGAAAAACAAGTGGAAGGAATGGGATTTCAGGTATGATGTTAGATTGCACATGACAAATATCACCATGCCAATAGGGTACCTGGCTTCTGCCCATATAGATTCTACAGCAGGTGTGCACATGTGACCAGGCAGGGACAATTAAGTGTGAGCTCTGCTGGGGTGCAAACTGGGTCATTGGTTCAAGTATTTAGGTAAACCTCTGCAGAACATGACAAACCTAACAGCAATGATATTTATAACAAAAAGGAAAATCAAGTGAAGGAAGGGGATTTCAGGTGTTATCGCCATGCCAATAGGGTACCTGGCTTCTGCCCATATCATTTCTACAGCAGGTGTGATGTGACCAGACAGGGACAATGAAGTGTGAGCTCTGCTGGTACACACAGCCACCTGGATGGTTTAAAGAATTATGTAACAGCTGGAAGAAAGGTGTTCTTCTGCATGATGTTAGACAGCAATTGGCAAGTAACCTGGTCTCTCCCTCTATTGGTCCAGCAACAAGTGTGTACATGACACTCTGCATGGGCATTAGATTGTAAGCTCTGCTGAGGCAGAGACTTGTGTGTATGGTTTAGCACTATATAACAAAACAAATAATGACAATAATAAAAAAGTGAATGTTTTCAGTTATAGAATGTAGCAGATGAGGACCTACAAGTCCAAGCGTACCATCCTGTCCATGTTGGATCAGGGCCTCAAATGGAATTCTACAATTTTTAGGGTACACTGATTGCTATCATTGTCATTCCGCTGGGTTCTATTCTGGAACCATGTTTTTGAAAACACCCTGAAAAATTGCAAACTGGCAATTACACTGGCATCCTGACATGAAGAAGCTTGATGAAGCACAGTGTGCTGGGATTTATAGTACCACCAGACCACATATAGTGTAGTTGGCCATCAATGTAGCACCTCCTGCAGCAGATCCCTCTCTACATCCTCAATGCCTCCCCCCATACATGTTGCAGAGGGCACAGGATGAAGATCAGGGATGTGTGGCCGTGTCATTCCCCACTAGAGGATTTCCTCCACACTCCAGCAGTAAAACAATAGGCTTAGGGCCATGTGTGAGCAGCCCAGGCAGGCTGTCCCATCTGTCTTACCCAATCCTCGAAGTGCCGGCTCCCATTCTGCAGCAGATCCTCGAACTGGATGGTGCAGTTGGCCACGAAATCATCGTATCCGATGGGGGCATCGTGGAAGACGGCCAGCTCGATCTTCCTGCCATTGCAGACGTCCGTGGAGAAGTCATCGTGCCAGGCTGGGCTGTTGGTCTTCTGCTTGGTACAGGTCTGCCCGATCCGGGAGTCATCCACATTGACGGCTATGTAGGGATCCAGCAGGAAGGTTTGGGGTCGGGGACCCACCGCATGTCTCAGGGACCAAGCCGTGGGCTTCAGGTTCACAGCCTCGCAGATCTTGATCTTCAGCAGACCATTGAAGACCACCATGGCGAGCGAGGGGTTAACAAGGAGCGATCCCACCTCTCAGCTTGTAGCGATCAATGAAGATCCGACGGGATCTGCCTGCTCTCTCCTTGCGACACCCACTCAATCCAGGGCTGATTTCTAACGGAAAACAAGGGGGACGTCCTCCTCCTCCTCTTGCAGCTTGCAAGGGCTCTGGAGATCCTCATGTAATCCCGGCAGGGTGGAGGGGGGTTTGCTGCTTGCTCCTCTCTCTCCCTCTACCTACCGTCTCAGCTGATCCATGCAGATGTGTGGCAGCAGATTGCAGCCGCCGCAGTCCTCCTCCGGGTCCGAGAACAAGACAGCGGTCCTCTTCTGAGTCCGCGCACAACACGCACGGCCAAGGCAGGGAGCTCACATCCGCATCAGGACGGGGTCACCTCCCCAGGGACGCCTCCAGCTGCTCCCATGCAATACACATGAGCCTGGGCTGGGCCGGCTGCAGAAAGCCTGGATCCAGTGTGCAGATTCCTGCTGGATGGCTGGCAGGCTGGTGCTGCCTAAAGAGCTTGTTGGTGCTGATCAGCAGCGACACCCCACCCCTCCTCCTCTCTCCTTGTAATGCAGGAAATGCACAGAAGACGTCAGAGTGTGTGAGAGAGGCTGCTGCTGACACATACAGGCAATGGAGGCTTCAGCAGTTTCTACCTAGCAGTGTGTGTGTATTGGGGGGAGGGAGGGGAGACTGGCAGCCCTGTCCCTGGGTGGCTCACATATCAGGGCAGCAGGAGGCCACTTTCACTATTTAAATAGATACTTAGTTACCTCTCTATCCAGGTATGACATTTCCTCTGCACAGGATCGTCTGCCAGAGGAGCAGTACACTGTGGTATGGCAATGAGCAAAATTATTGTTAGTTTTGCTGATCTGTTGGAATGCAATCTTATTTTTTTATGTTTGTATATTGCCATTACATAACCTCCCAGGTTTCAGAAATGGGAAAAGGAGGGAATTTTAGAACAAACGATTTAGGGCAGAAAAAGCCAATAAGGCAGACAAAGGAACATGAAGAATTCAAGTGCAAGAAATGTCTACTCAAAGTGCAGTACAGATTAGTAAACTAAATGTGAGACTGTAATTCATCGCAGGAGTGGGCTTGGAGCGTTGGTTACTTTACAACACACACAGGGACCATGGGAGTTAAATCTTAAAAATGCATTTAAGTAGCCTAACTAGTAACAAAAATGTATCTTATTTGTGTATCACTCGGCTGTAGATCCTCAAATCATCTCTGAATTGGTGCTAACACTGTCCTTCGTTCTGGAGGGGGACTACTTTTCTTCCCCATGGTCCCTGTGTGTGTTGTAAAGTAGCCACTGCTCCAAGCTTGCTCCCGTGATAGACTATAACTTCAGTACAAATTAGTAGACTAAACATGAGATTGTATTCCACCACTGGAGTGAGCTTGGAGCGGTGACTACTTTAAAACACACATAAGGACCATGGGGAACAAAAGTAGCCACCCTCCAGATGGAAGGACAGTGTCAGCACCGATTTGGAGATGATTTGAGGATCTACAGCCGAGTGATACACAAATAAGATACTTTTTAAATAGTTGGGGTGCTTGAATGCATTTTTAAGACGTAACTCCTGAGTTTAGGGTCACTTCAAAGTGATATTAAAGTCAAAGGGTTTTTAATCTTTTTCAGATGTTGATTAAATCCATTCATGTCTATATGTGGAAGCAATTCCTCCTTGACTACCTACTTTTAGGAACTTGTGTTAAACTTGTATAAATAAATGTACATCCGGATGGACATTAACAAAACACCATCTATGGCATTTATGTATTCATTAAAAAAAAAACCATTCCAGGGTGACCTCCCCAGTCTTCAAGTAATATTAAAGTCAAAAGGTTTTTAAGCTCATGCAATTGCTGATTAAGTCACTTACAATGAAAACTGCTTCTTGATGTTTAAAAGTTTTAGCTTCCTGCAGAATCATTGGGCCCCCTGTACTCTGGCCCTTATATCCTGTAATAATCCAAACATACAGGCAAAGCAAGGTAAGCCATTCCCTTACCCCTGGTCCTCCCTCCTCTCATCTCCATGCTAGTTGATGGATGGCTGCGGGACACTGTGCTCACCCTTGTGATCTTGTACTGGACAGGAAGTTTAGTGAAACCGAGCTGAGAGAGTTGGAGCTGTTTTGAAACCTGACGACTATAAGTGCTTGGGCAGAAATTGAAAGAAATTCTTTGCCGGGTAATGTATATTTGTTTGATCTGGATTCAATATTGTGCAAAAACAACAGTGTCACTGGTTCAGAGCACTAATCCACCCAACTCCTTCCCTGCTTGTCTGAATTCCGCTATACAGCAGATTACTGGGTCCGACTTCCAATACTAATTACACTCGTTCCGATGGGGGG